CCTAACCGAAACGGTGGGCTTTTAAAGCCAGATGGAGGGAGGGAGACGCAAGAGGGAAGAGGTATGGGAACCTATGTATATATGTAACTGACTCACTGTTATAAAGCAGAAACTAACACACCATTGTAAAGCAATTCTACTCCAATAAAGATGTAAAAAAAAAACCACAGATGGAATCCCGGCTCACTCCCTCCTCAGGAGGCCCTCTCTCACTCACCCTCGATGGCTCACGGTACGAACAGAGCAAAGAGACACCCCCTCATCGTGTCCAGGACCAAGGGCAAGCCCCGAAAGAGAGTGATTTGTTTAGCAGCCTCACAGGAAGGCTGGCTGGTGTGAGCTGTTTTAAAAAACCTTGTCTGGGTATAATTAAAGTACCATATAGCCTGGCCTCTCCCCGTCTCTCCTTTCTTGTATCTGGACCAGAAAACAAAAGGAATCATGATCTTTCCTTGTTGGACAGAAATAAACTGCTGAGCTCCTTGTTGCTTTCACGGTGGCCCTCGGGCTCAGGATCACCAGCCACTAAGATGCAGAGCACAGGAGGAGAGAGGAAAAGCTCGGTGGGGCTGCTGGACTAAGGTCAAGGATGCAAAAATAAGAGAAGAGGAAAGTCAGGGCCTAAAAGAGCTCACCGCCCAAGGTGCTGGGGTGCGGCCTCTGCCGTCAGAGCTACCCACCCAATGTGCCCACCCCCAGGCCTCCCCAGTGGAGGCCTCAAAGGCCGAGACTAGGATGCCTGGAGGAGGCCACCCAGCTGGTCTCCTTCAGCCACAGGCAGTCTCATCCCTCCTGTGTCCCAGTGTGTGTGGTACAAATGTATTCCCTATGTGGAGCCTTGCAGAGGATGCTCTCCGGCCTCTCTGGGATTGGATTAAGTGCCCTTCCTCAGTATCACCGTGATTAGAAATCTTGTTCTGTGGGTTTGCACGAGTGAGAGCTGCCGGAGCCTCTGCTCCCCGTATGCCCAGGGCTTAACACATTAGTCGGTAGTCGGCATCATTCTCACCAAACGTTTGCCATGTGCCAGGCACTGTTTAAAACACAACTGAGCACTAGCATAGACATGGGGTGTAGGCACTATGATTAATCCCCATTTTAGAGATGAAGAAACTGAGTCAGAGAGAGTTTATATTACTTGCCCAGGTCAGACAGGTATAGTCAGGCTCCAAACCCTGGCAGTTTGGTTACCAAGGCTGTGTTCTTAACCACTTGTCATTCTGACTCTCAAGGAATGTGTGTGGAATCACTGATGGTCGAGGCCATTAATCAAGGTTCTTTAGAAACCGACTTCATGCAAAATATTACACTAGATGTGTGGCCCCAGAGTCAAGACAGGAAAGTAGGAAAGAAATAAAGAAGAGTGGTGCTGGTCAGTTCCCACACAGTGATGGCTAGTGTGGTCCCATCTGTGCAACGACTGTGCAGACATCACCTGGCACAGGTGAGCAGGGGGGTGTCAGCACGAGCATGGCCAGTCCTTGTCTCTGGGGATGGATCTCAACCGAAATGGACGTTCTTCCTTGCATTTTCCTGTTTGAATGATTTTCATTTTATAGTGAGTATTATTTGCTTTTACAGAGATCTTTTGAAAAGTTCACGGTTTAATCCCTGCCCTTGGTGTTCACCATCTGATTGGGGCAATCTACTATAAACTAATAAAGAGGAAGATGTAATGCACCCCAATGTTCACAGCAGCACTATTTACAATAGACAAGATGTGGAAGCAACATAAGTGTCCATCGGCAGAGGAATGGATAAAGAAAATGTGATACATATATACAATGGAATACTACTCGGCCATGAAAAAGAATGAAATAATGTTATTTGTAGCAACGTAGATGGACCTAGAAATTATCATACTAAGTGAAGTAAGTCAGACAAAGACAAATATTATATGGTATCATTTATATGTGGAATCTGAAATATGATACAAATGAACTTATTTAAGAAACAGAAAAAGACTCACAGACATAGAAAACAAATTTATGGTTTTACCAAAGGGGAAAATGGGGAGGGAGGAAAAAATTAGGAGCTTGGGATTAACATATACACAATACTATATATAAAATAAACAATGAGGACCTACTGCATAGCACAGGGAACTATATTCAATATCCTGTAATAAGCCATAATGGAAAAGAATCTGAAAAAGAATATGTGTATATGTGTAACTGAGTCACTTTGCTGCACACCTGAAACCAACACAATCTAAATCAATTTTACTTCAATTAAAAAAAGAAAAAAAGGAAGATGTAAAACACCCGCCCTGACCAGTGGGGGAGGAAGCCCTGTGGCCAGCGGCTTGGGGAGGATGCATGGGGCAGGGAAGGCCTGTCCCAGAGCTGAGTGAGAGCAGTGCCCAGAGATGGGATCTGGGTACGATGAGTTCAGGAGAGCACGAGGTGTTTCTAGAAGGTGTGTTCCACAGAAGGTTGGTTCTGCTGTGGTTGTTTTTATTGAATTAAAAATGTTCGAAATGATGCAAAAGAGCACATCACTCTCCATTTCTTTTCTCGGCCACTAGGAAACAGCACACCACACGCCAGAATGTTACCCTCCAAGGTCAGGTGAAGGGCGAGGCGGGCCCAGCTCAGCCGTGGGAGAAGCGGGGCCCACACGGCTCCCCGCCCGCCCCCACCTCCCAAACCAAAACACCGCAGAGGAGGTTCTGGGAATGAAAACCACAGGTGAGTCAGCACGGGGGAACCATGTGGAGAGTCTTCATTCCACTCTTAGGACTTGAAAAGAACTTTCCAGGGAAAGGGAAGCCTCCCCCCACCCCCACCAAGTGAGGTGGCAGCAGGCTCAGGTCACATGGGTCCTAACACAGCCCTCCTGCCTCCTGCCACCCCCTGCCCGGGTTGACAAGGTCAAGTGAAATTCTCCTGGCCTGAGCAGCCTAAGGACTCTTCTGCCACGAGGAATCACGAGGGATCTTAGTTCCCTGAGCAGGGATCGAACCCGGGCCCCCTGCAGTGGAAGCACAGAGTCCTAACCGCTGGACCGCCAGGGAAGTCCCCAGAGGGCTCTTCTAACTCCCGGTCCCCTGCACACCCGTCCCTGCGGAGGCGGGGAAGTGACCCCAGAATGACTGAGCAGCCACCATGACATCTGCCTTTGCTGGGTTTAATAAAGAAGTTTGTGGGTGCATCAGACTCAATTCCCTAATAGTAAAAAAACACCCTTCAAAGTTTTCAAGGAAAAGTCCATGTCTAGGGATGGGAGGGAAGGGGGCAAACTGAGAGGGAATTCTGCCCCAGAGGAGTGAGTCAGAAATACACCCACCCCGTCCCTAAACGCGCTAAACCCTCATCACAGCTGATGACTCCAGGTGCTTGTGTGTCTGGCACTCAGCTAGGCTCTGCAACAGTGATCTCCTTCCGTGCTCAGTGACTTCATACCGTGGCTTCTACTATTCCCCCCTTTTACCGACAAAGAGCCTGAGTGCCCATGGTCACCCGGCAGGTAAATGGCAGAGCTAGAATTTGAGCACAGGCCAGGCTGACTCCAAATCCTAGGCTCTTGGCCACCCCATCACCCTGAAATGTGGCAGCAGACTGCCTCATCCTAGTCAAGTCGACACGGGAACCGGCCAGATGCCCAGGATCAACACAGAGCCAAGTCCAAGCTGGAGTGGCAGCTCACCAAAGGGTCCTGTCCCTCCAATCACCAGCGGTGTGGCAAGACATCAACAGAGCCCCTCAAGACTTTAAGTACAATGTCGAGTGTGTCTACGACTCCTGTGATGCAACAGCAACTTAGGCTGGAGAGAGAGAACGGAAGAGAGGGAGAAAGGGAGGCAAGGACGGGCAGACACTGTCTCCCAGAGTCTGGACCCAACCGTAATGTGCCCTCTGCAAGCTGGCGAGTTGCCGTCGGCAGGTTGGAAGGTTTAGCAGAAGCGACTTGCGTGTGCAGGAAATGCCTTGCGTCCCTCAGTCCGCTCGGCTGGGCATTCAGGGCCCCCACCTGTGCTCTTGGCTCCCTGTGACTCTGCAGTTGCCTGGAGCCCCGCCAGCAGCAGCCATCCTGCAGCTCCAGCCACCTTTGGTGGCCCAGGACCATCCCACTTTCACCCTGAGCGTCACCAGCCTGCTTTCTCTTGCTGGAGGTTCCCGGGTCCACATGCCTGGGTGAAGGAGGGCAGAGGACAGATCTCATTGCTCAAGGAGCAGGCACTTCCCTGAGACACAAGCTCTTCACCCAGACCCATGGGGCCAAGATGGCAGGCTGGCTGTGCAGACGCACCGCCTCTCCAACGGGGGCTGGTCCAGCACTTTCCTTGGGCTCTCAGAGAGGCCACCCTGGTTAGGTGGGTGAGTCCAGGAGGAGAGGCAGAGACGCCTTAAGGAATAAGCCTCCTCCAGCTCCGCAGTCAGGCTCTGAGAGATCCAGGACAGCACCGGCCATAGCAAAAAAAGTGAGCATCGGGAACTTCCCTGGCGGCCCAGTGGTTAAGACTCTGTGCTTCCAACGCAGGGGGTGTGGGTTCGATCCCTGGTCAGGGAACTAAAATCCCATATGCCACGCAGTGTGACCAAAAAATTTTAAAAAACATTTTTTTAAAAAATGAGCATCAGATTCTCAGCAGCTAGGAGCCCGGTGTTTCCAGCATTGAGTTAACGTAGAGCAGCCTTCCCAGACGCACAAGGCCCGCTCTGGAAGGGGACTCATCAAGGGCAACTCCACCCTCTGCTGGGCCTGCTACATACTCTCTCTCCCTTTATTCTTATACAATTGTTTTCTTTTTATGTACTTATTAAATAGTCAAGTAATAGATAAGTCCTCACTCATGCAAACGTTACAAAGTCTACAGAGATGTGCTAGGGCATGTGCACACCCACAGTCGTGCTGTCCTCTATTTCCAGTTATTCTGGGAGGGGACAAGCTGACCCCGAGAGCCCAGCCGCCTGCAGCAGCAATATCCAACAAGTACCAGGAGGCAGAAGCAGGCGAGAGCCTGCACGAGGCACCCTGATGATGTCAGGGAAGGCCTGATGGCAGAGGCAGAGGGTGCTGAGGACACGCCCAGGCCCAGGTCCCTGAACCGCCCAGACCTGGTCGCGTTGCAGAATCTCAGCCTCCGTCACCCACTTAGCGTCTCAGGAATTAATTACCCAGGCTCCTGGCAATTTGCGGAGGCCTGCAGAGCGAGGCAAGCAGCATTTGATGCCAAACATCAGGAGAACCCTCAGAGGATGGATTTTGATATTTTAACATTTACTACAGTTCTGACTGCGTCTGAAGTTACCAGTCCTCTGATAGAAGAACTTGGCTGTGATAAGTTTATCAATAGCTTCAAGAGAACCTGTGCATTCAGGACAGTCATATCAATCTGGTAGCTTGATTTAAAAAAAAAAAAAAATCAAAGTATGTGAGAATAAGGCAAAGCACTGATGAAAACAAAGGAAGCTTATCATGAAAAAGCATCGGAAAAAATTGGGGAAAAAAATCAAAAGCATCGTAAGACTCCTGTGACATTCTTTGAGTTTGTATTGATCTAGATTCTTTTCCTTGCGTTGTGGACAACGTCTTCCAAATTGCTCCGCTAAAGTGTAAAGGAAAGTTTTGTAAACTTGAAGATTGATTAAGAAAAATTGCCGACGATAAAGCCCATGATGACGAAGGAAATTAGAAAATACTGATGAGAAGAATAAGGAATTACAGCTATTAGGACTGGAAGGCTGTAGAGAAAGCTTGAGGTTTTCAGAAGATGTGCTTTCATCGTGTCAGAGTCAACGGAAGTTTTTAGTGTAGGATTGGTTCTGTGTTTTCTGAGATATTTCATACGGCAAGGAACGTACATATTATATATAGTATATGATGCCATGTTTTCAAGAATATCTGAAATTTCTGGGGAAAAAAAGAGTAAAAAATTAGATTCTCTCTAAGTCCCTTCAGGGCTGCGTTAAAGGCAAATGCTTCCAGTTAGAGCCCAAACATTCTCCCAGGGGTCTTGGCCTCGAGGATGCCACGGAGACACCGGGATGGGCAGTCAGGGCGCACTGCTGCGGTCAGAGCACTTCCAGAGGGCAAGTCCTCCCCCCTCTCATCTCACCCGCCCCGAATACTACTCAAGTCTTACTGAGTCCACCTCAGAAGTATTCTCCTAGAAGACTGTGATCTGGTCATCCACAAAATCCAAGAGCCCGTTGAAGTGAAAGAGGCAGGGCTGGCTTTGTAAGACCACTTGAGTCAGCTGACGCATCTCAAAAGACAAACAAGTAATTCACCCACCAATTTCAAAGCCCACTCCAAGGCATCAGGGCCTGTGTTTCCCTCCCACGCCCTCTTTCATTCCTGGCAGTGGTTGTGCACCTCTACCCCAAGCTGTTCGCCCTGAGTCATCCTCTGCCACGAGCCCCTGCTCAGTCTGGGTAGGTAACCAGTTTGGACCAAGGAGGCGGAGCTTCCAGAGAGCCCGGGGCCCCAGGGTGTCCCTCCCCACAGTCTTCCTGATTGAGGCCTTGGGGAGCTCTGTGCTCCTGCCTGTGGGAGCCAAGGTTGAGAACATTCTTCTCTCCATCAAGGCTCCATCCAAGTCTTCCTCCGAGGCCTGCTGTACTGTCTTAGCGCGACTAGTGTATCGCGTTGCCCAGCAACATGGGAATCATGACCTCCGGGACTAGAACTCCCTCCCCAGGAGCCAGACCCAGGGCTCGGTGCTTTACTTGGGGAGCAGACACAAAAGGATGGTTTCCAACTACCACAGGAAGCAACTGAGGGCCCCAGGCACAGCTAGCATCCCAGCCCACGCTGGCCTGACATCCAAGCCAGACCCTCCCACCACAGAACCTATATCGCCAGCCAGTTCTCAGCCTATAATGAATTATTTCATTCCTTCAGAAAAACAAGAGAGAAAGACCATCAAAACCCAGGGAGCTGCCTTTTTCACTGAATCCACAGTTTCCAAAACACGGCCTCAGGGGACTCACTTTTTTTTTTTGTTTTTTGCGGTACGCGGGCCTCTCACTGTTTTGGCCTCTCCCGTTGCGGAGCACAGGGTCCGGACGCGCAGGCTCAGCGGCCATGGCTCACGGGCCCAGCCCCTCCGCGGCACGTGGGATCCCCCCGGACCGGGGCACGAACCTATGTCCCCTGCATCGGCAGGCGGACTCTCAACCACTGCGCCACCAGGGA